GTTTGAAAAATGACATTTTAGGCAAAAAAAAAAAGATGATGGTTTATCTATTTTTAGCATTTTCAATTAACGAAAACGCCATTTCGTAAACATTTGTTCTGGTGGAATAATAATTCCTACAATTTTCTGGAAACTAACTTGACAACATTTCTTATATTAAACTTCTGGATTTAATTATCATAACCGTTCAAATCCCTATTTTTTATAACCACGCCTTTTCTGTCCCCGGATTTGACGAGTCGTCATGTCTTGGAGACTTTCTACACATGAACGTTTGCCTTCACACTGTTCAGCTTTTTTATTGCCAACTCAGCAAAACCCAATCAAAGGCTAGATGCATTGGATTGAAAATTAGGTATGTAGCGTGTAATTTTATGTGATGGCAAAATTGAAATATACTATACAGTGCAGTGTTGGGGTTGCTCCAAACGTTCTGTTCGGGCTTCCAGGATTGTAGTTAACAAAAACAGGTTCTTCATGAGGCGATTGCAAGGGTCTGTTGATGGGCATCATAAAAATCAAATTTCGACATTTGTAAGGGAAATAAGGTCATAGAATTTGCTGGGATTATTATTCTCATCAACGTAACCATCATTTAACTCTAGCTAAAGTCTTGAGTGCGAGACTAAGTTTTTCATGCAATTTGAAGAGGCGGAAATTGGTATCCAATCCGCCAATCGGTTATAGTTTAATTATGCAAATTGTGTTAATAAAGTTATAATTGCTCATTTCCTCTAAGCATAAATGTGTATTCGTTATTCACTTAGTTATAGGTCATTACTATGTTGTTGATGTCGGCTATCCAAATGTTAACATCTAATGATATCGCGGCCAAGGAAGAATACGTAGTAAGCAAGCTGTCTTTAACTATCGACCTCGTCATTTCGTAATATGATCAAGAAGTGTTTTGGAGTATTAAAGGAAATCTTTCCCATTCTAAAGTTAAGCAAAGGTTGCCCTTGAGAAGACTAGTTCAAGTTCTCACTGCTGGTTGTGCATTACATAATTTCATTCGCATGGAAGATATGAACGACACATAGTTCTTGGAGCATGAGCAAGATGATACGATATTTGATATTGCGGCAAGTACAAGTGAAAATAAAACTCTCAATAGCAACTAATGCATGATGTTCGAGAAACTATTGCAAAAATTTAGCATGATTATAATACTTGAGACGTCAAAGTATCACTAGTGTTTGTATTTGTTTTTAAAGATAAAGTAGCATCTTATTGAAAAATGACACTTATTAAATGTTGTTCGTGGACTATCATTTATGTTCACCTTTTGTATTGTTTCAAATGTTTCTAATTGCAAGTACATTATTGTGTAATATGCACATCTATTATTTTTTATTAGTTGCGTCAGATTATATTTGACAATTTTAACCTTAGGTCTTATTAAGTTTCAAATCAACAATGTATAAAATGATTTTATGGTATATATGTAAAAATGAAATAGATTTTTTTTAAAGTATGTGTTCACATTTGGAAAATGGAACTCGATAATGGAAACGGAAAACTGAAGGACAGAATAAATTTGTATTTGTAAAAAACATTTAATCGCGATGCAAAAATAATTTTCATAAAAAGTTCGGGGTATATATTACATATGCAAGTTTGTGGTACACACCACACACCCATTAAAGTTTGGGATATTTAAATTATTTTCCCCTATAGTAATAAGAGAAAATTACTATTAGCCCCCTGAGTTTATGTCATAATTATGAATGCAACCTTGTATTTTCAAAAATCGATTAGTTACCATTGTGTTTGGATCATTCTCATTCTTTTTTACATTATGTTAATGTATTTGTTAAATCAAATTAATATAACTCTTAAAACTCAATGAAAATTTCCATAAAATTGATTTTTAAAGTAACACACAAATTGTTATCATAATTATAAGTCATTGTTGTTGGTCGTTATTTTCTACTTATCTGCTTTATCGTGAAATAAATATTATTGATAGTAGTTAAGGGGAAATACTCACGAGTAAGATATAAAATATCATGAATTTTAATATTTTTATTTTAAAAATTAAAAATCATTTAATCTTATAAAACTTATAAACTTTTTATTGTAAAATATTGCAAAGATAAAATAATCACAAAATAGTAACAAAGTTAGTATAAAACTTAAATAAATCAAAATCTATGCTACTTTAGATTGATAGCTTCCAACTTGTGGCAGACCTAGGCATCAAAGGTCAGAGTATGCACGCATATAGTACTATAATAAAGAGAAAATTTTACTTCGTACATTAACAATTTTTCTTTAAATTACATTAACAAAAGATTATTTAAAAAAAGAACATTTTGTATATGACATGCTACATAAAATACCAATTAGCAGTGTCAGAACCAGGATTCGTGACTTGCAAGGGCACATTAACAAAGAAACCATATACATCACAAATATAACAGTATACAAAACTATAAAATTTAAATAAAACAACTAATTAAAGGGTACCGTAATTTTGATTAGAATCTGATGTGTCAAATGAAGGAGAATAATTGAGAGGCTGCAATCTTTGTCTTCAAGGTGCCATACTCTGAAATTGCCTCATACTGACTTCATTCTCAATGTAACACATCAGAGAACCGAATGAACTTCAAAAATTGGACTTAGGCAAGGCTTGAAGCAGCCTTGATCGCCTAGTCCACGTTAGAATCGGAGGGGTATATATATATAGGAACGACAAAGGAGTAAATCCTCCGTTTCTATCGGTGTGGGAAATTTAAACTGTAGAAAATAAAAAGGACAAGAAGAGGGAGCGGATGCGACATTCGAACCCCGGATGAAAACTGAAGCATGCGCCCCAAGTTCCGAACATTAAACCACTGGACCGCTTGATCTCATTGTTAAAAGTAGGACTTAAATACAATATATTATCTATTATTACTGCAGGATAAATAATTAAATATTACTTAATAAAATTCTGTTCGGTTTGAACCGATTTTATAACTCAAAAAACCGTGACCGAACCGATTTATGTTCGGGTCCCAACTTTCGGGTCCCGTTTAAGTCGGTTCAGTTTCGGTTTGATTTTTTTAATGCTCGGTTCGGTTTTTTTCGGTTCGGTTTTCAGTTTTTCGGTGTAAAATGTCAGCCCTACTAAAAGGTACCATATTTACAAGACTTATGACGAAGAGAAATATATTTGTAACAAAAAACTATGGTGTAGGGTAACTAACTTAAATATGCATGCATATAAATTTTCAGGTCAACGCAGCAAAGTCACCCCCTCTCATCATCTGTTTAAACTCAGTGAAGTCCACCATTCCGTCACCGTCCACATCCACCTTCGTGATCATCTTCTTGCAATCATCAATCGTGCGGCCTTGCTTAAGCCCAAGTGATGCCAACACAGACTTCAGCTTGTCAACTGTGATGAACCCATCGCCGTTCTGATCAAAAACCTCGACGCCTTCCTCATGTCCATATCCTCATCCTGTTCGTCCATGATCGACTGGTACATTGACCCAAACTCATCTATGTCCACACACCCGTCCCCGTTCACGTCAATTTTCTCGACCATCTGGGTTAGTTCTTCATTTGTAATGAAGATTCCCATCTTCAGCAATGAATCACTCAACTCCTTTTTGGTGATTCGTCCATCACTGTTCTGATCAAACATTTGGAAAACTCTTCTGAGCTTGTCGTTGGTGGAGATTTTGATGGATTGATGAAACTAGCAATAAATTGGTGGGGTTTTGATGAAACCAGGAGAAGAGGAGGGAATTGAAAGGCCTAAGCTATTTTGGAAGCAGATTGAAAATAAATTTGTTGAGGGAAATGTGTCTAGTATTTGGAGATGGAAGTTCCTCAACAAAATGGTTGGCCATTGCAATATTTTTTCTGTGTGGTGGTTAGATATTCATGGAGAAAACATGAGGTAATAGAAAACATAGCCAAAACAAAAATATACAAGAGAAGGGAATTTCATCATGAAATTGGTGGGGGTAAAGTTGTCATGAAACAATTAGACATGTCAGGTAATTCAGTTTTGCACAAAATAATATCTTCACCGTGTTTGTATGGTTGTGGTATCAGCGTATGGTTGGCATGTTTATAACATTTATACTAAAGTTTCTGAAATTTGTGCTGGGTCTTGCAAATCCCGAGCAAATTATTGTTTTTTGTATTTATTTAGGCAACAATTAGGATATTTTTAATTGCTTTATAATTTTATGGTATGTTTGATCAATGTAAGTTTGATTTGGTCTGAACCGATTTGATAGATATCCGTTCTACGTGCATTTTACAACTGTTGAAGTCCGGTCTAATCTAGTTGGACTGAAAGTCTGAAACTATTCTTACACGTTTATTGCACTATGTGTTATTTACTTGAAAAACTCTTTACACAATTAGTCATTTTTTATCACTTTTGTTGCACTCCATATAATTGACATTCCAACCAAATTTATCATCACTTAATAGGACTCAAATTAATGTGTCATGCAACGAACATACTCCCTCCGTTCCTGAAAATACTTCTCACTTTCCTTTTTGGGCCGTTCCCAAAAATACTTCCCACTTTCCCTTTTTGGACAATTTGTGTGGCTCATATTCATTTTACCTTTTTCTTACACAACTACAACCACACATTTCCACTTTATTCCACTTTCTTAATAAGCGTGCCGATTCAAACCGGGAAGAATTTTTAGGAACGGAGGTAGTAATTTATTTATCGAAGTCAATATATAAGATCAAAACAGACTTTTAAACAAAAAGTTCAACACACTCAAACGTATAAACAAGAAATATATATATTTTGTTGTTACGTAACTATCAATATGCTTATGGTAAAAAAACTATCAATATGCCATGGTTAGCACTCTTCACAAGCGGACATGTGTAGGCGTGTCAGCTAGACATAATAATATCATGGAATTTTATCATTTAGGGACCTCAAAGTTGAGCATTCTATCATTTAGGGACCCGAAAGATAAACTCTATCATTTAGGGACCTATAGTATTAAACTCTATCATTTAGGGACCTATAGTATTAGAATCTCTCAATTTAATGCTCAAAATTTTAACACCGTTAACCTGCTTCTAACGACAAACTGATGTGGCACTTGATTTATTAAAAAAATATTGTTTCGTAAATAAAACTGCCACTTCATCAGTCTGAATCATTGCTCTTCTATTCCATCTCAACGTAAAGTTGATTAATGATGTCTTATCCTTACATTTTCACCGACAGCCAGAAACTCCACAATTCTATTCATCTTACCTCACCTACAGACCTCTTCATCTTCAACCCTCACCTTCGCGGATCGAAACTGTCTTTCAAAGATATCTGAGAAAACAGGTGAAGCGCAAGAGAGATGTAGACCTTCCACGGCGCCAAAGCCAAGAGTGATATCGGGAATACTCATCCATTTATAGAGTACCAAAAACAAAGAATGATTTGCTTGTTCTCGTCAACTGTTTCCCTTCGAAGAGCTTCGTCTTCCCCGACACTGCCTCCCTGTTACTTTATTATGAGAAGAGAAATCAGAGCTTAGTTTACCGATAAATTTTGTCCGCAAAAAGGAGAGACGGTATGACATCTGCTTCTTAATTAACTCTATTCCTTTTCTCTCTATAAGAAAATTAGGTCGCATATTTGATAAATCCCCCACCCAACTTAAAAGATGCTTGAATACGTAAAGCCTCTCTCAATAGCTTCTTCATGGGAAAATAAGTGTTATGTCCTCTTTGGGTTGGATGCATCTGAATTTTATTGCAAGATTCTTCTAATGAGATTTAGAATTTCTAGTCCTTGGTGTTATTAAATTATAAATCAGATCCAATTTTATTAAAAAGTCAAGGTAATCGACTAAACTTTGAATGATATGGATTTTGTATATATCTATTCTTTTTCCCTTTTTGAGAGTAGAATTTTATAGGTTCATCAACATCAAGTTGTCCTAAACTTTGAATTATATGGATTCTGTATATGTATATTTTTCTTAGTTTCTTTTAGGCTTATCATGATCTCATTTGGTGGATTTTAGTAGAGTACTTTGGATTTTTACAAGGAAAAATTCACATCAATAATCCCACCTAAATGGGTTCTTCTCATATTAATGTCATGTATGTGTAATTCCAAAAGAATCTGAATTTAAGAGGTATCCTTCTCAAAATAGTCTTAGGTGACCTGCAACCTGCTGTTTAACAGGTAAACATCCTCAAGGTATCTACCTTTCTATTACTGAAAAAAACTCATGTCTCTCTAGTTTCAGATGAAACAATAGCATAAGCTACAATGAATAGACCATTGTTCCCATCAAGACTAACCGCTGCAAGAAGCTGACCGCGATAGTATCCACTTAGATGACATCCGTCTAGTGCAATTAGTGGACGACATCCATTTATAAACCCCTTTTTACATGCATCTATACATACATATATTCTATCAAATCTTGATGGTCCATTCTCACCATGTTTTGGACAAATTAATTCAACTGTTGATCCAGGGTTGGTCTTCAGTAACTCGGCACAATAATTAGGTAATTTAGAATACTGTTGAGCAACATTGCCATGAAGTGATTGTGATGCATATGCTTTTACTCTATAAGCCTTTGCAATACTAGCCATGACATTACATTTCTTATATATAAGATCTTTCACTTCCGGACCTGTCATGTTTGGATGTTCTCTGAAGTCTTCAATTAACTTATTTCCCAACCACTTGGTATCAGCAAAATTTGCCTTCACTCCCTCTTTCTGACAGGTATGACTTGAGATAAATGTTTTGACCTTATAAGTTTCTGAACATCCAACTTTGGAACAGTATATAAGCCACGGGCAATCGTTCACACACTTTACACGACATTTTATCTTATCTTTCTTCAAAAAGGTCAGATTATACATATTTTGAACCCCGTAGGTTTTAACAGCTTCGTAAAAATCATCTATAGATGCAAATGATTGTTCCAACCTGAAGTTGACATCCCCGGGAGCTGCTTGAATATGTGCAGAGTCAGCTTCGTCTGCATTTGTTGGAGATTCAGAATCATGGATGCTCCTTAATTCTGCCAAAGATTCTATCGTAGCTGGCTCAGAGAAATCAGATAAGTCACCTGTATCACGAAATTTATAAAAAGTATCATTGGTGGCATGTGACCAACATGCTGGTTGTTTGTCATCATCGCTATTATATTCATCTAAACTCCAGTCATCATTTTCAGCTGCCATCTGTAAACAAAATTATAAAACAACTGTCAAAATAGTGTCAAGCAACTAAAACTTATCTGAAATACAGAAAATTTATCTAACAGATAATTATATCTTTTACCTTTTTTTTATTACATCCATATCAATTACACTCCACAACAAAATAATCTCTAGATTATACCACTCAAATTTACTTTAACTTAGGCATGTATGCTCTATGAGTTTAGAGTTTAGGTATGTTCTCTAGTGTTTCCTTCTACTCAATTTTGAAATTCTAATCTGATCTTCACTTTATTCTTCACTTATGGATATAATATGTTTTTGTGAAGGGTATATAGGTTATCTCATGATGAAATCTAAGTACCAAATACTTTTGAAAACACTGTTTCATAACCACTTTCATGATATCTTACAAAACAAAATAATTAAAAAAATATAAAAAAGCACGATCAATGTCAAAGTCTGGTTTGACTGAGTGAATAGCTTGGTGCATTATGTAATTCAAGATGACCCTAGTTTAAACCTTATTAAAGGAGCATGTGCACCGTTTTTTGATGATGATGATTCCTGAAAATTATGTTTTAAATAATCACAGATGTGGTACAAGGATGGGAGAAAGTACAAACCTTTGATGAGAATTGCTGAATCTTGTATGCGAAGAAGGAAGCAACGAAGAAGGAAGCAGCAGAGTCTGGGATAGGCGGCTGCGTATAAGTTTAAGCTTATACGTAGTATATTTTCTAATTCTTTATATCGTTATTAAATATGTATTTGTTTTTTACTTATGTGGCGCCACATCAGACTCTCTAAGTTGTATTTTAACGGTGTTAAAATTTTGAGCATTAAATTGAGAGATTCTAATACTATAGGTCCCTAAATGATAGAGTTTATCTTTCGGGTCCCTAAATGATAGAATGCTCAACTTTGAGGTCCCTAAATGATAAAATTCCTAATATCATAGAACTGGTAAATAGAAAACTAACTGTATCTAGAAGCATTTATTATTTCATTTACATCAACTCAAGGTGACAAGTTTCGTAATTTTTCTTTTTAATGAAGAAACTGCACAATGGAAAGAGTTCCTTAAGGTAAGAAAGAAACCGAAGGCCGTGGCTAACTCTAGCGAAAAAGACTGTTCCCGAGAATCAAGTCATCCGTGGAGAAGTCTGCTTCTTTGCGAAAGGTTCCGAGGCCAAAGTCTAGGTTGTATGAGTTTGTAAGACCTTCAAACAGCCCAAATTCTGGTTTCCACTCCAGCAAACTCTTTGCCTTCTCAATTGATGCAAAGAAATGCTGCGTAGCCCCGCGTAACCAAGAAAATGAAAAAGAACACCTCATTATTATGTACCAAAAGTTTTTCATTAATCATCATCAGGTAGAAGAATCTTAAAACATCTGCCAGACAATTACCTGATCACGAAATGGAAATGCTTTCTTTTTACCAAAATCAAACTCCTTTGGGTTGTAGTGAATAATATCTGGCTCAGGGAACCCACCAGCCTGTTTCAAAACATAAAGACAAATGTAGTCTTGCATCAGCATTCTAGCACATAGGCCTTTCAGAGAGACTTGTGAATAGAATGATGAAGACAAACACTTAACCTTCGCACATGCCTTTGCTAATCCGTCAAAAGTAACATATCTATTTCCAGAAATGTTAAACACCTGTTTCCTTGCCTTATCATTACCAAGAACCTGAACAAAGGCTCTTGCAAGATCCTGTATACATAAATCTAGGCCCTTTAAGTTGCCATTTATTTTTTTATTTTTTTGGTTCCAGTTTTAGTATCATTTGTACAAACTTTGCATCTTTTTCAGCATGGATAAAAGTGAATGCTACAAATTCAAGATCGGTTGGGGCACTAACTAGACCGTAAGACAATTGGGTCAAGCCACACGAAATGACTAATTCCAATATATTAAGTTAGTCCACCCTTAGATCTTATTAACTCATCATATCCACTTAAATTTTTGGATATGGGATTCTAAGACTACTAAATATTCTCTAAAAGCTAAAAGAAAGCACATAACCCGGATGGGAAGCCCGAATGGTTTAAACTTGGGACTAAAAAGCCTCTAAGGTCGCTATTTTGACACCTAAAACGGCCACTGGACGGGAGTATCTTCGCTACCTTGGCTACCACGCTAGCAGATGAGAGTACAAGACGACAAGCACATACAGAGACAATAGGGAGAGGCGAGCGACGAGAGGGAGCAGATGAATCGATGAGACGAGTCAAATAATTATTTAATAGCCTCCCATCCATTGCATACTTTTTTATGCAATGCTGCATTGCATGCGCCTTAGAGCCTACGCCTCAGCCTTGCTATGTCGTCAAAAGGAATACGCCGTTCATCGCAAATCACCGGAAAATCTGCAAGGTGTGCCTCAAGGCGGGATATTATTGCCCAATTTAAAAAATTGCACCCATGACAATAAAAGTAAAACATCATAGGAAGACATGTTGATCATGATAATAATAACTGAGAGAATATATTTTCAGGTTTTTAATGATTTATTCATTTCCAATCTCTTACTATTTTGCTAACCTTAACATGACCAAGTTGGGTTACTTGCATTCCGGAATTGGGAATGGGGATTGGGCGGGCGGCTTTGAGGCGGTGAAAAAACCACTCTTCAATGGGATTGTAGTTCAAGGGACCATATATATAGACTGGTCTTATAACAGTCCAATTAACGCTGCTTCGTGATTGCAATAACCTTTCTGTCTCCAGCTTCCCTTTGTGCCTGCTCTTTAGGTCAACTCCATCAGTCTGTCAAACACATTTTGAATGACAACACATTCACAAATGGATTTCTAGAGCAAATCACTATTTCGAATAAGAAAATTAGATAAAGATATATGCTAACCTCGTAGTGGGGCAAATAATCAGTTTTGAGATAAACACCAGCTGAGGAGCAGTATATGTACCTAACGATTCAACAACAACAAAAAAGTAATAGTCAAAATGAATGGTACCCTCCCAGACCTAAATGCTGGTGGACAAGAAAATTTGGTTCTGTAATACGATATTATTATGCAGTCTATTTTTACTTGATTAAAGAACTCAAAACTTAAGCTATGTTTGGATCCCAGTAAATAGTAGTGGAAGGGAAGAAAAAGTTCAAGAAAGTCATTTTTTTATGTTTGGATTTGACACAAAATACAAAGAAAAATGATGTATGATTAATGTTATCATTATTTTGACATACGTTTAAATTCCTTAGTATTTTTATGATAGAGATAAATAGATACAATGACTTCAAACAATTATTAAAAGGTCTAAATATGTTTTTAGTCCCTGCAAATATATCACACTTTGTTTTAGGTCCCTACAAAATATTTTCTTTGTTTTCCATCCCTGAAATTTATGTTGGTTTTCTTTTTAGTCCATGACTAATGATTAACAACGAAACAAATCGACTAATAGGTATCCTTTAATTCTTTATCATTCCACTGAAAAAGTATTTAACTTCATTGTTTAAAAGGTTTTTAATACATATTTTAAAAATGCAAATAAGTAGTTTTAATATCGTTTTAACTCTCTTATTAGTGTAAGAAAAAAATATAAACTGATGAATTTAAATGTTTTTAGTAGATTTATGCAACTGACAATAAAAAAATTGAATTATAGTTGTTTTGGAGTTAGAGATGGACTAAAACCAAAATAACGCATATTACAAGGATGAAAAACAAAGAAAATATTTTGCAAGGACCTAAAACAAAGTGTGCCATATTTGCAGGGACTAAAACTATATATAAACCTTATTAAAAATAAAGTTATCGAGTTTGAAACAACTTTTAAATTTCCTCGACATTTTCTTTTCTTCCATACTTATCGAATAAAATTGTCATTTTGTTCTCTTATCATTTTCCGCATTCCAAACGGACTTTTTAAGTTATAATGTTGAAAACAAATGTTACGTCTCAATTCTTATAAGCAGCTTAGCTTACTGTTCAAGATTAGGCAATGCATCCAATACGGGTTCCACTTCAACTGCTTCCCGTCCTGCAAATTACAGCAAAAGCGTTTCCAATTCCAAATTTCCAAGGGATTTTTGTCAAGCTCAAAAGAAAAAATGAAATCAAGGGTTCAGGCATGCAATTCAAATTGTAGAATAAGAAGTCCTTGTTAAATCTCTCATTGCGAATTTACCCATCGTTGGGTCAGACTTGCCGAGATTGAATTGCTCATGGTAATTTAATGAGCTGCGATATGGTATGAAGACTTAAGGTGACATCCCAAAAATGTCTACTTAATAGGAGTATGTAGTCTAAGACCTTACATGTGATGATTTAACATCTTCACCCATACCACCTTTTTTTAACCTCTATGTTTTAAAGTTAATGCTCACTCAGGTTATGTTATGTTATTAGGTCTATTTAACTTATTTACAAAACAAAGATGATGTTTAACCATCACACCTACCATTTATGTCATACACAATGTCCAAACCTTCAGCAGAGATACTTCTCCTAACAAAATCATAGTCCGTTCTATCTCCCTTCAAGTGCAATATCTAAAAAAGGCTTTCTCAGAATACTGGAACTATAAGATCAAGTGAAGAAGCAAGAAAGGCATATGATTCTTTGAGATGATTGATTAATTGGCACAACAACCTTGGAGCAGAAATCAGCAAAGTCACTGTCCGATTCTCCTGGCAACTGTTGTGCAATTGGGGCCTTTCCTCTTGTGAACAGAGTAACCTATACAGTGCTTAATCAATGGGCACTTGGGCACCATAATAGATTTTTTCCAATGCAAAAACCAGTTTGGCACAGAATATGAACCTGATGGCCTTCTTTGACAAGAAGTCTGGACAAAAAGATACCAATAAATCTGGTGCCTCCCATTATAAGGATCTTCTTGGAACTTGCCGAAACCTGCAGCTTCCCACATGCCTTCCTTTTATACTACATTCACATGGAAAAAACAATATATAGCTTCAGTCCTTTTACACTTGCAATGAGAGTAACACATACTCACCTGTCCCATTTTATACTACCTCGTAAGAATTTGGACCATGATTTTGATTAGTTTAATATTATAGAAGTTATAAATTTTATACTTTTTGAAAGTACTTTTAACAAGGAACATTTTCATATCATTTTTATATTATAAATATAATTTCTAATAAAAATTTATAGTTGGTCAATATTTTAAAGATGACAAAGTTTTTAGGGACGACGGAGGTAGTATATATCATCATGTAATTTTATACACTATGTAACTTTCATTAAAGCAGTATTACAAATACAATATGTGAAAATGTCTTTAGTACTATGATCTTAACATGGTGAAAGAAGCAGATTATGCAAATTGTACACTCCACCTTCAGTAGAACAATTTTTTGTTTTGTTTTGATATACTGTCATACACTCATACACAACACAAACTTAACTGTCTATGGACAAAGTGTATTTACATACAAGTTTGTTTCTGCCATAATAAAAAAATTATGCTGCGAAGCGGCGAAGGTGTCATACAAATGTGGTGTATACAAATAGTGGTTTTGGAAAAATGACTTAAAATGATACAGAGTAGTAACGATTGGCTATAAACTAGCAGTAATCGAAAGAATAAAAATTACAAATTAATACCCAATGTATTCCATGCATACCAAAAACAATACAATTAAGCACATTTTCATTCAAAAAACTGGTCGAAGCACTTACATTACCACCAGAGGATGATTAGATTGCAATGTAAGAATTGTTTTTGGTCTAAAGCCAATACTTAGTAGTATTATTTTCAGTCCATAAGCAAAAATTTTAATTATTCGTGTCAGTCCATTAGCTTAATTTTGTTAAAGATCGTATTGTTTTCAGTAATATCTAAAATTACTATTGATTTATCATTTCTAATGATAGAATTCGGGAGTCAACAATTAACAAATGATACCCCATATTATTTAAAGTAATTTCCTAACTTAATTTATACAGATCAATATTCAAAAAAAAAACTTTATACAGATCAATAAATTGTGAACACACAACTGTTTAAATTGATTCCCTCACACACACCCATGATCCATCCATGTTAGATCATCCACACTATTCATGTTTCCTACAAATTTGAGGTGGCCTCTACTTCTAAGTTCTAAATTAATGTCACATTATTATAAATATTCTAAAAATGTGGTCTTTTATTCGTGCTACATTCACATTTTTTGAAATAGTGTTACAAAAAAAATTAAATAATCTTGACTCACATTTTGATACAAATAATCTAACTGAACAACTCTTACACATCCATTATGCTTCTAAAAATAATAACCCCAAGTCACCAACTTCATCCCTAATGACCTAACAATCTCAGAGATGCTTTAAAATAAGGTTGATGCAGCCAGTCTACTTAATGGTACCTGAGAGAGGCCTGTGTTAATTAACTGGGGAGAGGCAGCTAGCTTGGCGCCACTGAAGTCAGAGCGAGCAAAAGAGAAGGATGGGTGATTGAGTTGCGGAACAATGGCAGCCAGGCTTAACATTTTGATGGTTTTCTTTTTCAAATATGTGTAGGTGGTGATGGGGTTGAATGCTGACCTCTCTGCCCATCTCTTCTTATGGTGTGCCTTTGTTTCTCTGTCATTTTATGAATTGGATAAGGCTCTGAGTGCCACTGACCCACTTCATTTTGTAGATATTGTTTCTTTATTTTTATTAGTTAACAAGATTATTTAAGAGTATTTTTTTAATAAAATTGAAGTTGCATCTTTCCAAAAAAAAAAATGAAGTGGCATAGTTTCAAAATAAAATTGAACTTTCCATATTTTACAATCTCTTGGACCCGTGCTTTCAATTCACATTAATTATATAATATTTTTTTATGTGAAATTTATTGTTGGTTCGTGATATAATCTGTTATATCTAGTTGATTAGGATGTTGATTTTAGATATCATAGCTCTGAGAGTCTTTTCCCTAATTAATGTTTTTTTTAAATAATGTTAATTAATGTTAAAGTTTTTTTGAGAGTTTCCCCCCCTAATTAATGTTAATTAAATAAAGGGAAAATGGTCATATATGTCCTCGAACTTAAATAAAAAAAGATCAAATAAGCCGTTATATAGGAGGCTCTGTCCGGCCGTCGCCATTTGAGGCAGTTCCCAGTGGAGTTTTTTGATGAAATTTTTTGAGCATCTTATTCATTAAGTCTAGTTTACTCATACCAAATTTCAGCTAACAATTCAATCGGGAAGATATCTTCAAGAATTCATTTGAATACCTTCCTGATTGAATTGTTAACTGAAATTTGGTATGACTAAACTAGACTTAATAAATAACATGCTCAAAAAATTTCATCAAAAAATTACACTAGGAACTGCCCCAAATGGTGACGGCCGGACAGAGCCTCCTATATAAGGGTTTATTTGACCTTTTATTTAAGTTCGGGGGCCTATTTGACCATTTTCTCTTAAATAAATAATTATTTTGTACGAAATTAGGATTGAGTTAAAAACAATTTCCAAAATATTGCTACTTATATAAGTGAGTGTTTGCAATAATTTAAAAAAAGCGTTTCTCGGCTTTTGACTTAAAAAGGCTAAAATTAGTGTTTTCAAGTGACAATTTCTACTTTAAAATCATTTCTCGATATTTATGTGAAAAATGTTTTTACTTTTTCTATTACACAAAAAACACTTATTTTACCAAAAAATACCAACTTTTACTTTTCAAAATCATATTTTCTCAAACACCATCAACTTTTACCACCAATCACTTTTTCCAAAATCACTTCAAGAATTGTTTTTTAAGCAAAAACATTTGCAAACACTCCATGACTTTCATAACTTAGAAACAATGTCCGTGCAATGCAATGCGTACGTGGTGCAAAAGATGGGCCCCATAATAAAAAAACGGGATAAGGGTCAGTTTGGTCCTCGAAGTTGCAAAAAGGGGGTCAAATAAGTCCTTATATAGAAAATTCTGTCCGGACGTGCCATTTGAGGTGGCTCCCGGTGGAATTTTTTGATGAATTTTTTTGAGCATCTTATTCATTAAGTCTAGTTTACTCATACCAAATTTCAGCTAAAAATTCAATCGGGAAGACATTCAAATGAATTCTTGAAGATAACTGTGCCGTTAAAAGCGCTGTTATCTTCAAGAATTCATTTGAATGTCTTCCCAATTGAATTTTTAGCTGAAATTTGGTATGAGTAAACTAGACTTAATGAATAAGATGCTCAAAAAAATTTATCACAAAATTCCACCGGGAGCCACCTCAAATGGCACGTCCGGACAGAATCTTCTATATAAGGACTTATTTGACGCCTTTTTTGCAACTTCAAGGACTAAACTGACCCTTTACTCATAAAAAAAACTCTTTTTTGTAAGGAAAAATTGAAAATAATAATCCCAACTATTGCCGGTCCGCTGAAAATAATCTCAACTATTGATTATTTTTGTATAATCCCAACTATATAGACTATCCGCCAATAATGGTCCATTACCATATATTACCTCTATAAAAAGTGAATTTTAAATAGAAATTAAGCGTAAAAATTAAAAGTTGAGATTATTTATAGGGATTACTTGTTATATCTCACCCCATCCACTTTAGAAACTACAAGAATTTATTCATAGAGACCATTATTGGCGGAAGGTCCCTAAAGTTGGGATTATTCTGTAATAATCAATAGTTGAGATTATTATGAGCGGACCGCCAATAGTTGGGATTATTACTATCAATTTTTCCTTTTTGTAATCGCTATTTTTTTTATTTTTGCTCCAATTTGCATAAAAAAATATATCAAAATCCATAGTTTTTTATGATTTTTCATACGACATTGTTATTGCTTATATTTTTTTCATAATAAAATCTGATCACCATATGATGTCTAATTGAAATATAAATTCAAATTTCTATCTTCAAAATAATTTTCTTTTCCACTGGATCAAACTTAGGCTAAAATATATATCAAAATTTATAACTTTTAATGATTTGCCAAGTACCTTGTGGTCTGATGACATCACTGCTGATCTCCCAAAGAGGGGGTCGTAGGTTCGAGTCTCATCCCAATCAAGGATGTTTACATTAACATGAGCAGATACTATAATAGGTTTAGAAGAATGTTCCAAAAAAAACTTTTAATGATCTTTCATATGACACCAATATCGCATATATAATTCTTAAAAAGATTAAAGATCATATTGTGTACAGTTGAAATACGTAGTATCAAAATTCAAATTTCTATATTCAATCGAAATTTCTTTTCCCACCGTACCAATCTTAGGCTAAAAGATATACTCCCTTCGTCTCATAAAAAAGTTTTCACTTTCTTTTTTAGGACGTCCCATATAAATGTTCTCACCTTAAATTACAAATTAATCTTTAAATATTAAAAATAATACATTTATAACATCGATCACAGTTATCAACATTAACCGCATTATTTCTAAAAAACACTAACCACATTCTATTATATATCTACTAAAATTATTTCTCAAAATATACTCGAACAATATTATTTAATTATTGTCTAAATAACCGTGTAGTTTTACCATGAATCTTTCAACGGGATATATGTAGTATCAAAATGGGGTAATTTGAGTTTGCACCCCAAATTATAGTCTAAATTGGACTTTGCACCCCGTTTTTAAAAATCTTTGTTTTTGCACCCCAACCCCATTTGAAAAGACAAAAATGCCCCTCCATTAACAACTCTGTTGACCTTCAACATATTCCTGACTGGGGACATTTTTGTCTTTTCATATGGGGGTACGGTGCAAAAACAAAGATTTTAAAAAATGGAGTGCAAAGTCCAATTTAGACTATAATATGAGGTGCAAACTCAAATTACCCCTATCAAAATTCATAACATCTTATAATCTTTCATACAACAGCAATATTGCATATACTCGATCCATATGTCCCTTAAAATTCTTCTCAATTACCTTTTTGGAACGTCCCACAAATTCTTCGCATTTCCCCTTTTGAAAAAATTTGTGTGACTATTATTCATTTACCTTTTTTTCAACTCAACAAAATCATACATTTTGACTTTTTCCCACCTTTTTAAACTCCTATCCAAGTCAAACCGAGAAGAATTTTATAAGAGTGTGCGAGTATTATTTTGATATTTGATAGTTAGATGTTTTTATTAAAATATTATACTCGGTATAAAAAATTATGTATTTTGATCAAACAAATTAGCCTACACTTGGTCTAGTGAGAAAGAAATATCGATTGGATATGGAATTTTGAACTTTGATACTCCGTACTTCTTATTTCAATTGGATACCATTTTTTTTAAATCAACCTTACTCATTTATTAAATAAGATGAAATTACATGGTAGGGGATAATAGCCAAAACCTACCGGATTAAAAGACATATGAGTAACTAATCGCATCAAATTTAACAATTTCTACAAATTTGCGATAAATGCTTGAGTTGCCTTCAAAGAAAATAGCATTAATAGCAACAAATCTAGCAATACAATTTTTATTGATGTGCGCAAATCGGAGATTATCATTCTGGAACTTCTCTTTAAATCCTTCCAAATTGGCTAATGCTTTCCATCCAGGTCGGTCAAATCCTGTTAGAGTCCGGAAAACCTGTGAAAGGTCGGCAAAATCGGCTGATGTTGTGTTTGTTGATCTTTAGTTTCTTTTTTACTAACTTTATATACAAAATTGGTTTCATATGAAAGATCATAAGAAGTTGTAAATTTTGATATATCTTTTTAGCCTAAGCGTGATCCAGTAGAAAAGAAATTTCTTTTGAAGATAGAATTTTGAATTTTATATTTCAATCAGGCTCCATCGGTAATCAATCTTTTTTTAAAAATATGTATATGTAATATTAGTATCATATAAAAGTCATAAAAAATTATAAATTTTGATATACTTCGTATTTTTTTTTATATTTAAGTTAGTGCAAAGATAAAAAAGTTATAGTGATTACAAGAAAAGAGAGATTTTTTTAGTTATGGCCAATGAGACTTATCTTTTGCATACTTTATGTTGCATTGCACGGACATCCTTTTTTTTTTACTTGTTAGTGGTCGCTACTTCAAGTGACGGGTTTGTCTAACCGGGATTCCACCCAACACTATTTTGGGATTATTTTTAATTTAATCTTAAATTTTGAATTATGTATGTAGTTAGCATTAATTCAAGAAACAACTCTAGCGCTTCTTAATCATCATCATTTATTTCATTTTGAATTTATATTTCATAAATGTGTGCAATTTCATAAAAAGTAGAGTTGAATTTAAAAGCTAAAATTATACCGGGGTCCAATTTTAAAAAATTCCAGAACTTGTGTTTTTCTGCATTTGATCTCACTTGATTAGTAAATTACCCGTGCGGCCCCTACCCGTGCCAGTCGGGCAAGGACACGAAAACGAAAACAGGGAAATTAGCTGCTTCATTCATGTCTTGGCACCAAAAAGAAGAAACGAAGGAAGAAATCGCTGACTCACAGTAGTCCTGGTTAGAAGTTAGAACCCGCGCGGGAAATCAGATCACACCGCTGAGGCGATTCTAATAATCCCTGCACTTGAATCCTTCAAAAATGGATCTGAATCCTGTAAGATCTTTGTTTTTCAGCGATCGTTGATATTCTTCTTAGCTGAATACACTATTGATTTTTTCTGAAATGACTATCGTCCAATGACTTGTTTCGTATACTTTCCATATTCCCAGATAGATCTGTTGATGATCTTATTAAAGTTCGTAAAAATGCAATAGGCTTTAAATTTATAGGTTAACCTGGTGTGGATGATTTATGATGAAGAAAAAAACCTATATGCTGGCCTGATTCGGATTTTATAACATCGCTGACATATGCATTGACTTTATACTTAGGACAATAACACAGATGATGTATGGTGTTGTTTGACACCTACCTTGGGTAAATCCGTCGAGCTACTTGAAGTGACTAGTTAGGAATATGATATCAGGAATGCTTGATGTTAAAAAAAATTAAATAAGCATAGTTTGAAATGAATAAGGTGTTTTTTTGCAAGCACACTTGAAAAGATGATAATGTTAGGGAGATAGATACCTATCATGGAGCATAGGATTTATGTGAGATTGTTATTACTTATCAGTGACTATTACTAATTGGCCCATCCAGTTCCACTTACCAAACAAGTCATTATAACTTTCTCAGACAATAGTTTAGAAGATGCCAAGACTAAGACGAGTTTCAGGTGTTCTCATAAATTGATAAATTTGTGAGAATAAGACACATATATGTCCACGCTTGCTCGTGAGAGAGCACTGTGGACGATGATAATTAAGATTTGCATAATTAAGATGGATATGGACATAGTTAGAAAGAAGGCAACTCAGACTAGTTTTGGAGGTCAACATATTACAAGATTTTCATCTTGGTGTTGGACAATAAACTGCATTCAGAATGGCAGATTTATCATTTCAGCACCATTCTGAAAAGGCAGATTTATCATATCAGCATCGTGCTGATAATTTGCAAATTAGCCTTTAAGCACAATGAACTTTTGCATCAAATGATTCAAGCCTGAATATTTTTTATCTGGGTAGCTATGTCATTACTAGTGCAAGGTCAGATTTTTTTGAGCGGGAAAATAGTAAAAGAAAACAAGCATTGGTCTATCTTTATTAGATCAGAACATCCCAAGTTCAGACTTGTTTAAATTTGGTTCATAAGACGCTTTTTAAATCAAGGCATAAACGAAGATGGTCACATTGGTGCTATTATAAGATAGATGAACAAACTATTGCAAGTTTGCAATAAAAATTTGATGGGGCAGGGATTTATTTACTTATCACCTCAGTGAAGGAGACAGTTACTACTACTACAGCCTTTTCTTGATTTGTTGCTCAGTCATTGTACTCTGAAATAGTTATTTTGGTAAGATTAAGAGGAAGGGAACATAGTTTTAATGAATTGATATCTAATATAAAATTTAAATGTGGATCTTTGGATTCCCTTTGTTCTTTATCAATGTTTACTAGTTTTTGTGTGTGAAGTTGTAGTAATGTCTACAGTGCAACTTTTGCAAGCTGCATCGTGTCTGTTTTCCATCTTTTTTATTCTTTCTTGAAAGTGTATGGACTCTGCAATGAACTAGTATGTTATCAACCCTTACTACAGTCTTCTTACCTTATATACTCAGCCTGCAGGGGAGAACTACGCACACCCAAAGATATGTTTCTTCCATGTGTTCTTCAAGGTCAAGTGCATCTGACTCTATATTCTATGGACCAAATTGATATTTCACTGCTCACTATTTCTTCCCCTGATCCCTTTCCAGGCTGCAGCATTGGCGTTTTACATACTTTCAGCTGTGTTTGTTGATAGCTTTGTTATCATATTCGTGGTCACTGTTCTGCTAGCAGCTCTTGATTTTTGGGTCGTTAAGAATGTGAGTGGACGTATCTTAGTGGGGCTGAGATGGTGGAATGAAATAAATGACGAGGGTGAAAGTGTGTGGAAATTCGAATGCCTTGACCAAGAGGTGAGCAGCAATGGCTTGAAAATTGCTTCTTGCCTCTTTTATCAAGTGATAACTTATGTTATCTAAATTCTATTTTCTGTTACTGTTTGTTTGGCAGATTATGTTTTGCTACACCATTCAACTTGTGTATTATTTGTTCTATTATTTCATGTGCAGTCATTGGCTCGCATGAATAAGAAGGATTCTTGGCTTTTCTGGTGGACACTATATCTTACAGTAAGTAAACAATGTATAATGTTCAATACTTTATTTACCATCATGTCATGTCATAATATGGTTATCAGTGTCTTCAAACATAAAACGTTCATTGATGTTCTGGGTTTGGTTCTAAATCAAGACTGTCCTAAATTTCTTTGAAACACTGATCTGAGGGAGAGATGATTTTGAATGTTGCGATTTAGGCATTATTTGTAGTGTTTCAAACATCTAACCGAAGCTTTAGATGCCTTAAAAGTTCCAGAGTTCTGATAAGATAAAATCAAACTATGATTTTGAACCATATAAATAAGTCTTAAATTTCTGTAAAACGCACTGATCTGAGAGAGGTGATTTTGAATGTTGCAATTTAGGCATTATTTTAGTGTTTCAAACATTTAATTGGAGCTTTAGATGCCTAAAAGTTCAAGAGTTATGATAGGATATGATAAAACTATGATTTTGAACCATATAAAAACGCCATTACTTTAAAGAATCTTTTGAAACACCAATGATCAAAAAATGATTTTATCAAACGATGGCTTTAGGTATTATGTAGACCAGCTTTTATGCTCAACTTGTAAGGGACATGGATTATATATTTACGTCCACTGAAATCTGAGAAGGCTGAAGGTCTGTCTTATTTCTGGTGCACCTTTTTCCAAATTCATTAGGAATAACTCCCAACATTTCAGTTTATCGCTCAAAATCAGCTTTGAGATTTTTCATCATTGCTTCATGTTGTTCGAACTTCGAAATGGATAATTGATCATCAGTATCTAAAGTTGACTCCTTATAAGAGGAGAAACAAGTACTCTGTTAGTATGTTTATTGTACCTAGTACCTCATCTGACATTGTTTGGTGTTATTAGGCTGTTGCTTGGATCTTTCTCGCAATATTTTCACTCATTAGGTTCCAGGCTGACTATCTCCTTGTTATTGGAGTTTGCTTGACACTCAGCATTGCAAATATTGTTGGCTTTACTAGATGCCGCAAAGGTGGGTTTGAAATCTCTTCACACTCTGTATCACCTACCTACATACTCTTAGCATGTCTGCATACGGCATGCATCTACGCACAGACAGACACATGTGATGTTTTGAAGCACTATCTTCTTCATTAAAGGCATTGCAAGGGAATAATATATATTTCCTTATGTTGTCATAACTTCATGAACAATCAACATGGTTATCATCGGTTTTCTCTCCACCCATGTGAAAGTAGTATTTATTCACGTGTGTTGACTATTTGGTACAACACTGCTGCTGCTATGGTTGGGAACAGCAAGGTGCTATGGTTATGACTTATGAGCATCTGATATAGAGCTTGGCTACAGTTGTGGACTTGTGGTTTATAATATAAGTCCCATTGAGCATCTCAACTTCTAACTGGACCAATTGAGCAAAACAGAAAAATAATTCTCGTTGACCCCTCCTCGTCTCTTTGTCTTCTCTGCCATTTTTTTACACGTCCTTCCCATTTTTTAACCTTGCCTTAAATATGTTCCACCCAAACATAGAGGCAAGAAACAATCTATGTAAGGAATAATAGAAAGGGGGGCATATGTGAAAAGGGGCCGAATCCAGCATAATTTTGCCCAATCGGTCCAATTAGAAGTACATGGTTTCGATGGGTCTGACTGTCCAACAAAGCAATTCCCGGGGATAAAAAGTGGTTGTCTTGCATCATGCACGTTTACTTTTCTTTGTGTAGTTTGGTCGTATAGACATATGCAATATCGTTACCATGGCATCTGCATTATTTACCTAACTGAAGTGAAGTACTTGAAAACTTTTCTCTCTTGTAAAGCATAAAAGATCAATTGAGCTGTCTAACAAACTTTTTGATCGATCCCTTTTCCAGATGCGAAGAAGCAGCTTCAAGCATTTGCAACTCAAACCCTTGCCTCCCGGGTATCATCAACCATTCAATCCGCATTTAGTGTTGTCTAATGAAGTCTTTCAAGATCTGGATTGGGGACGATCCCGACAACTCTTGAATGGTCACTTTGGTCAGCCAAGTTGAAGGAGAGGTCACTGTATCAAAACGGTCTACACCTTTTTCAGATTTGTAGAGATGATGGCACATTACTATGCTTTTCAAAATATCTTTGACCACTACAGGGGCCTTGCATGTTGAATCTACCATAAAATAAGTTTTTTTTATATCATCTTATTACTAATAATCTATCTAATTTTACACCTACTAGGTCGCTTGGTTACCTGGACTCGGTTAACCTGCAAAATGTTTTGTTTTTTCGTAAGTTATAGCATGGAATGGGTTGACCTTGTCCAAAAGTAAAATCTTTGGTAATACTTAATTGGCCGAACCAGCGAAATATGGATTGAGATCATCTTGCAGAGTGCCATGTCCTCGTGGAGGGCAGGGATTAAAACTTAAGCCTCGAAATTTGTGGAAAAAGTGGACTCCATCTTCTATCATTGGAATTAAGATCAACAAGAAGCCCCAATGTATCCGATGCTGTTTACTTTACACGGATGAAATATTTTTTTTGATCGTCAAATCTCCATATTATTAATGTAACATATCGTTAGCCAAGTGGCTTCTAGTAATACGAATAGATTTATACTCCCCATACTGATCTGGTGAATTTACATGAGTCCTAGCTAACTTGTGAGTTACATGGTTTGCAGATCTTTTACAAAAAGAGACATTAAAAGTACTCTTTGACTCAAGAAGGAAAAAAATATCATCTATTAAAAGTTGTAAATATGATCTTCCAATTCGATGCTTCAAGCCTTGCACCACCGTTTGAGCATCACTTTCAATCACCACCCTCTGCCAACCCGTTGATAAGGCCTTCTGAATAGCATCCCGAATCCCCATAGCCTTTGTTTCCTCTGCAGACCACTCTACCCGGACAGCAACTCCACATGCCCGAATAAACTCTCCTTGATCATTCCTTGCAATCCACCCCCATGCATGCACTCCGGCAGCCTGATTTACTGTGCCATCCACGTTTACTTTAATTATTCCTCTCCCCGGGGCTTGCCATTTCCCAGCCGCACACCAGCTGCCACACCTGATCCCCCAAGTTGTGCATCCTTCCATTTAATAACCATGGTGTCCGCCATGTTAATAACTGCAGCAGCCCCCTTGGTCTTTTTCTTCCCAGACTACCTTATTCCGCCTCTTCCAAACACACCAAAGCAGCGCTACAAATCTGCCGCGCGCCACTTTGTCATGCTGCCCGAGCTGCTGCTGCAACTAGTGCTCCACCTGCAGCGCCAGACTGTCCGTCCGGACATGTGCTGCTCGCCACACCTCCGCCACCCTTAGGTAGGTTCTCAAAGCATGATCCAGTGATTCCTCTGCTGCGCCACAAATCTTACATCCTCCTTGGATATTGATTCCTTTCTTCTTCAAACTATCCACAATAGGAAGTGTGTCATCCATAACTTGCCAAACAAAATATTTAAACTTTGGAGGTATATTAAGTTCCCAAATTTTATTCCACCCATCCCAGGGTCCCGAGGATAACTCCCCCATCAGCTTCCTATAACAACTCTTCACAGAAAACATTCCATTCCTTTCTCCCATCCAACTGAATCCATCCACCCTGTCATACAAACTAATTGGCACACTCAAAGTAAGCTTTTTATCCTCTTCCTTAAACAAAGCATTTATTCTTTTCCGGTTCCAATTTCTGCCCGTATAATCACGCAACGCCGCCACATTCATGTCCCTAACCCATTGTGGCTTAGCCGAAGTAACCCTCTCTGTCCCTGGTCCCGGCAGCCACGCATCCGCCCAAACTTGGACTTCAATGCCATTGCCCACTCTACGTCGTGTATTTTCCTTCAAAATAGTCTGAGTCTCCAAAATACTTATCCAAATAAGAGAAGGCTTACTCCCCACCTTAGCCTCTAAAAAGGACGAATCTGGAAAATATTTTTCCTTTAAGACTCGGCTCATCAAGCTATGTTGCTCCGTAATTAGCATCCACCCCTGTTTAGCCAACATGGCTAAATTAAACTCTCCTATCTTTCTAAAACCCAATCCTCCTGCTTCCTTTGGCTTACATAAAGCATCCCACTTTCTCCAGCGAAGACCCTGATGCTCAAAATTTGTCCCTCTCCACAAAAAACCATTCATCAACTTCTCAATATCATCACAAATTTCTTTGGGTAGTAAAAAACATTCATTGCATATGTGGGCATAGCCTGGACAACATTTTTTAGTATAACAACCCTCCCAGCTCTAGAAAGAAATCTATTATTCCAACTCTTAATTCTATTAAAACCTCTTTCCTTCAGATAGCCCAAGATAACAGATTTGTTCTTACCAACCAACGTCGGGAGCCCAAGATAAAGGTGTTGCCCGCCATCTCTCGGAATGCCGAACAGCCCGCAACACTGCTCACGAAAAACTTCTCCCACACTTGTAAGGGACATGGATTATATATTTATGTGGGTTTAATGCACCAAACCTCCTCGTGAAGTATAAATTCGGCGCATTAGTCCTCTGTGATTTAAAAAATGTGTCAAACTCCCTTGTGTTATAATTAATCATGCCCAAAAAACACTTCAAGAACAAATTTTACAATTTTGAAATCACTTTTTTCAATAATATGGTTGAATATGCAAGTAACTTTGTCAAAATTTCTAAATTGTACAAAAAAAAACTAATCATTTTTCATTTTTTTGGAAATTAAATTTGGTTTTGGAGGGGGTTTGACGCATGATTAATTATAACATAAGGGGATTTGACACATTTTTTAAATCACATGGGGCTAATGCGCCGAATTTATATTTCACGAGAAAGTTTGATGCATTAAACCCTATTTATGTGCATTGAAATCTGAGAAGGCTGAAGGTCTGTCGTATTTTTAGTGCGCCTTGTTCCAAATTCATTAGGAATTACTCCCAACATTTCAGTTCACCGCTCAAAATCAGCTTTGAGATTTTTCATCATTGCTTCATGTTGTTCAAACTTCGAAATGGATAATTGATTATTAGTATCTAAAGTTGACTCTTTATAAGTGGAGAAACAAGTACTCTGTTAGTATGTTTATTGTACCTAGTACCTCATCTGACATTGTTTGGTGTTATTAAGCTGTTGCTTGGATCTTTCTCGCAATATTTTCACTCATTAGGTTCCAGGCTGACTATTTCCTAGTTATTGGAGTTTGCTTGACACTAAGCATTGCAAATATTGTTGGCTTTACTAGATTCCGCAAAGGTGGGTTTAAAATCTCTTCACACTCTGTATCACCTACCTACATAATTTTAGCATCTGCATACTGCAGGCTAGGCCGGTCAACGGGTTGGATACAGGCCGGAACTATAAATTCCATATCCGTTTAATTTTTTTTGTCCGGAACTATAAATTCCATATCCGTTTAATTTTTTTTGGTCCAGATCTGGACCTATTTACACTTTGGGTCCTAAACATATGTTCCATATTTGGATTCGGCAGGTCTCGGATCCAGGCCGGGTATACCCGCAAAAAAAAAAACTAAATGGCATATGCAAAAAAATATAATACAGAGTACTCCCTCCGTCCCTAAATGTTGTTCCAATTGCGGATTACGAAGGTTGACCGACGATAAAGTTAAATGATCCCTGTGAAAACTCGAATTATTTTTAGTAAATAAAATTTACATATTCAGAAACTACATTAAACCCGCTACAAAGCCTGCAAAAAATAATTCAACTTTTATAAAATTTTGATATAAAAAGTAAGAGTTTAAGGGTGATTTAAGTTGACTCTCGATAAGCGAAATGGAACTTCTTTTAGGGACGGAGGGAGTATATAACAAAAAAATGTTCATTTGGGAAGAGATCATATATAAATAAGCAAAATGTTGTTCTATTCATTACTCTGTATGAACTATACAATATATACGGGGTATGTTATATGTATATTATTAGTGAATTCATAGAGAACCTAGAGCACTAACTCATTAGCGAAAATCCCATTTTAGTGGGCCAACCACTTAATAAGCCTATTAATATCAAAACATTTTTTATATTTGATCATTTCCCTTATTTATGTTTAAATATTTTTATGTATATTGTGTGTGTATATGTAAAAAAAATTATAACTATAATTATATCGTCACGGGTCAGGCCCAAAACGGGCCAGAACTTAAAAATTCATATCCGACCCATTTTCTTTATCATGTAACAGGTTCAGATACGTATCCGGGAAACGCTTCTAAATTTAGACCATACCCTTGTATGAAGTGGCGGATTCGGATCGGGTCTGGGTCTAGACCCGACCCATTGACAGGCAAATGTGATGTTTTGAAGCACTATCTTCATTAAAAGCATTGCAAGGCATAATATATATTTCCTTATGTTGTCATAACTTCACGAACAATCAACATGGTTATTATCGGTTTCTCTCCACCCATGAGAAAGTCAGTATTTACTCACTTGTGTTGACTATTTGGTACAACGCCGCTGCTGCTATGGTTGGCAGCAGCCAAGGTGCTATGGTCATGACTTATGAGCATCTGATATAGAGCTTGGCTACAGTTTTGGACTTGTGGTTTCTAGTACAAGTCCCATTGAGCACCTCAACTTCTAACTGCACCAATTGAGCAAAGCAGGAAAAATAATTCTCGTTGACCCCTCCTCATCTCTGCCATTTGTTTAACACGTCCTTCCCATTTTTTAACCTTGCCTTAAATATGAAATTTTCCACAGACAAAACAAGCCACACTACTACATTTTTCATGTTTCCATACAAAGAATATTTGTAGGGAAATGTTAATTTTTGTAGCCAAAACATTTTGCAGACAATTTTTTTTTGTGGCGAGCTTTGTATGGAAATCATCGAAGCGAAAGAGTTTAGATGACAAAATTCATAACTTTGTCGACTAAAGTATAGGCATACAACACCTTGCTAGACAAATAAAATTTGTCACCTAAGTGTTTTTACCACAACTATATTTGTATGCTCAAAATGTTTTTAGCAACAACAAATTATTGTATGGGAAGACCTTTGTAGATAAAGTATATATTTGCCCACAAAAAATTATTGTATGGAAAGACCTTTGTATGTAAATTTTATAAGGAAGATGTTAATTAATAAATTTTTGTGATTTGAATGATTTAGGGGGAACGATCATGACCAACACATATTTAAACCAATGCATAATAAAATTTACTAACTCCAAGTCTCCAAATCACCTCAAAATGAAATATTACAATTTGAGTTCAAACACATACTTATCACATAATAAAGTGGAATGTGTAACATAATTGAAATTAAAAACGTAGTCAATGTAATGTTTCGTTCATCTAAAAACTTAATATAGTAACTTATGTAGGATGAACTAGTCATCCATGAAAGTGGCATCCTCATGTTCTCCACCATCTTCAAGAGAAAAAGGAGTGAATGGTGGTATATCAACACCCACTTGCATCAATGATTGATGCCAAGATTGAAGTGTAGAATTGAATTTATGCCCTACATTCCTCAATGTGTTTTGCATCTTTTCTTCCGCCTCTTTACGAGCTGCATCAGCAGCCTTTCGTGCTGCTCGTTCTACCTCCAATTCTTTTTCTAAGTGTTTCACTTTTTTAGATGTTGGCCTTGTCTCTCGAAGTCGACCTGGTGTGGAACCTAAAACAGACGTCATAATTTCAAGCCCAATATCAGGATCATCGACAGGTATCTCATTCAAAGGGGTGTCTTCAGGAAGGTTATATTCCTTTGCCTTCTCTACGAGATACTCATTAGCCTTGGCAACCATTTGTTCCTATAAGCATTACAAAAGCATATGCAATTTTCAGTAACAAAGTGATGAAAGAATTGCAAATGTATATTAGATGTTTTATCTTACATGTTGTTCTTTTGTTGCATCGTTAGTCCAACGTTTGTCTTTTCCTGCATATGTTAGCTCAAACGCAGCAACTTCCGGGAACTGTGAGCCATCCTAGTATTCAATATAAATTTGTAACTAGTTTATAACTTTGAAAAGAATGATTTAAAAATTCTGGTGCAATTAAAATTACTTGTATAACTAGTGTATAACAATTTTTTTTAGAAAAAGTTGATCCAATGGGAAGTGAAATGACTAATTAGCAACCAGATTCTCCACCTAACCTTATAGGTTAGAACTAAATTTACAAATAGAATTGCTCACTTGGAAATATTTAATACTCCCTATATATTAAGAAAGACAAAGAGAGTGCTTAAATATTATATCATTCAAAGAAAAAAAACAGTAGCCCCAACTATTTTATCCATTGATCCAAACAACCCTACCACCCTAACTTGAGAATTGAATGAATTTTAACTTAACATGCTACAAATCACAACAATCAAAGTTTACATGTGCACCATTCTTGCACTAAATTACATACAATAAATCATCAAGTGTGTGCCTAGTAACTAAATTTCTGTTTTTGAATGACAAAGACAAAGAGCAGGGAAAAGAAAAAAAAAACAAGAGTTTTTATATGGAAAAACTGAAAAGTGAATTACAGTGTAGTTTATAAATAACTTACCGCAAGCATATCCTCTACTATGTATGAGAGAGGACGTGAACCAGTACGATGATTATCCTTCTTATTAGAACGGTTACTAGTGTTTGCAGATGATGAATTCTGAAATAATGAGTAAAGTAGTGTAATATTAAATTACAACAAATAATGGAAATAAAAAAAAGTAAAAGTTATTACCTTGAATTTATCTGAGTTGAAATGGTTACACAACCATTCCCATTCATTAACATCTCTATCAGCCATCTCTTCCGGGGGTGAAGCAAGTGCATCGGCATGCGTTTCACAAGACTTGTAATACTTACTCAGTTCCGCCTTGTATTCTCTGTACCTTCCATTGTATAACCTATTGATGTATTCGCTAATATCTGGATCTTCAAAGTTGATCTTGAAATTTGTCTGATATTAATTATAAAAAGTCAGATCAATACGAATAATATGAAATGCTATTGTACCAACACACCTATAATACAAGACGACACCCTACTGTAGCCATAAAAGCTTTGAACATTAACGACAACATCTAAGCTTTAAAGCACCAAAATAAATGAAAATATACATATCAAATGGATTAGTTTTCATGTAGCTAACTCACTGTGATCTCATCCATAAGGTCTTTTCTCTTTTCGGGAGAAAGTTTCCCCCAGAAACCTGTATCCATGGGACAATGTGATCGAATGATAGCTCCAACATCATGAACCAGGAGGCTATGTATCTCAGCACTTGTTGCTCTCCTGGTAACTTCGTTGTATGGAACTTCAATTCTATGCTTACTAAGACGAACGAGACGAGATGTCTTTATTTGTTTACAAGGTCCCCGCCCATGTTTGTCAACCTCAGTTCTTGGAAATTCCCCTGCATCTACTCACATTAACAATGATGACCTTAAAAGTTAAATTCAAATTCATATATATTATATCTGTGTTAGTAAGTGTTTATGTGTGTTTTTGAGGGGTATTCTAAATGCCAGCTTAATATACATCATACCATCCTCTGTTTCAACTTCATCACTTGATGATATAAAAGTATTTTTCCATGACGCTCTGATTCAACTATTGTGACAATTTTAAAAAAACACCACATAAATCTTATCAGAAGTAATGAGTAAAAGATTATTTTTGCCTTTGATATTCCAATATTCTGACATACCAAAACAATGACGATAATCTAATGTACTGCAAATTTAAGCTTTGCTGGTGGACATGTTATTATGCCTAGCATATAGCCATATTTGTAATGTACTACAAGTTTAATTAGGCCTTTGCAGTTGCATTTCTCCTTTATAAAAGTATTACTTGAGAAATAGAAGCAAGAAATAAAAAAAGTCCAAAAAAAGTCAAATACTGGTGGGGCAAGCTCCAGCATATAAATCAGAAAATTATCCTGAATATAATAAGTAATGTGAGCAGTGAGATTTACGTAATGCATACCTTCTCCATTTTTATCACGATTATGATGAGGCCGAACATCACTAACATGATCAGGTGGAGGTTGAGATTTATCACTTGAAGGGCCACTTTGCATATTTTTACCAGAAAGAACCATATTATTTTGCCTAGAATGACCAGTTCCAAATATAGTACCACAAGTAGTACTGTTTGACTGAGTTCTATTTCCAAGGGAGGAAGACATGAATGCACTTTCAGGTAGTTTAGGAGAAGGTGTAGATTTCATTGGTGCTACCTTATCTGATTTGGACACCTCAAATACATTTTGAGTGGGTGTAGCTTTTTTTGAAACCATATTACCTGTTGGAGAGGACTGAAATGATTTCGAAGTTTGATTTGGATAAGAAGTCGGAGCTTGGCACCTGCGATTATTCACACCATATCTCAATAGTAGAGGATCAAATTCAAGGGGCGTTGTCTTATCCAAATTGGACATCTCAGGCAATTTAGGGACTGATGCAGGTGACATCCTAGGCACTTTTGATGTTGGCATGACCTTTGAGCTGCCACTGCGTTTCTTTTGTGAAACCCTGTTCATCTGCTCAAATAGAGAAACATCCAAATCCTATTGACTGAATATATGAAATCATTATAAGTTTAACAATTAATGTAACTTTATATTGTAACTTCATGTCCAAAAGCGTAAACATTATAAAATATTGAAGATAGTGTAAAATACATTTAAATAAAAAGCATTTAAATAAAAAGCTTAAAAGCATTCCAATGTAAAATCATCATCTTCATCACTTCCCTCCTCATCACTAAGGGTCTCTAAATCAATCATGGCGGGAGGAACGTCGTCTACATGTAATGTTGTTTGTATGGATTCATAGTTTCGATCATGAGACATATCAGGCACACCAGAATAACTTTCTTGATATGCATCATCACTATCATCATCAGTTTCAGGATTGGCTTCAACATTTGGTATGTCATAAATGCTTCTATGACTCATCTTTAGCGCTACTTTCCAACTACCACCTGCTTTGGGATCATTGACATAGAAGACTTGTTTCGCCATTGTAGAAAGAATAAACGGATCACTGTCGTACCACCTGGTTTTAGTGTCAACTGATATTAAGTGGTAGTCACGTTTTATACTTCCTGCCTTAGCGCTATCTGTGTTGTACCAATGACATTTAAACACTAGAACCTTGTACCGTTGTCTATATATCAATTCTATTACACTTGTCAACTTGCCATAATAGCCGACATCACAAGTGTCATGGTTTCCCGGTACATGGACACCACTATTTTGTGTGGTTAGTTTGTCATCTCGTTCTGCAACTACAAACTTTACTCCATTTACAACGCATCCTTGATATGTTTCTGCTCGTAGAGGCCCTCTTGCTAACTCAAATAGCTCCTCATTATACAATGGGGAATTTTCATCTCCTAATCTTCGAACCTAAGAACATTTCAGATTACAAATACCCATTATACGAACTGGTAATCTAGAAGTAAGGCTTACTAGATACTTGCAATTACTGGAGCTAATATGTAACTAACCCGTTCACGAAACCAAGATGGAAATAATTTTCTGTGTATGTTATCTATGTTCACAGCATTTCTGAGCATCATTATTGCCTTGTGCTCCCTACACCCAAACAACTTAGTGTATTTGATATAAATATAGATTTGTATATAAGACTAAAACTTTGATCATACTTACTCTAAGAATGGAATAACCTCATCACAGTTGGTTAGTATGAACCAATGAGCAACCTCCATGTCACTACTAGAAAATGGAATGCTTGAACAGCTCATTATTGGGCGGGATGGTTGAGCAAAAACAGAAAGTTTCTCGTGCCTAGGACCACCATCAAAGTTCCTTTCACTCTTATTGAATGGTGTCTCCACTTTGTGAAGATACATTGCACAAAAATTCAGAGATTCTTGAGAGACGTAAGCTTCGGCAATTGATCCTTCAGGTCGAGCTTTGTTACGCACAAATTTTTTGTACTTTCCAAGCATCCTACAGTTGATACAAATGCAGGTTGTTAGAAAAATCAACTACTCGCTATATAATAATATTATTTTGAAAATAACTTTAAAAGTTAACAGTACATACTAACCTTTCTATTGAGTACATCCATCGTTCGGTCACAGTACCTCCTTGTCTTGCTTCTTCCGGTAAATGCACCATTAAATGAATCATAGAAACAAAAAACGATGGAGGAAATATTTGTTCAAATTTGCACAATATGTAGACAATCTCATCTTGCAACTTTTGAATATCTGCAGTGCATATTGTTTTTGAACATAACTGCTGGAAAAAACTGGACAACCGAACAATTGGGTCAACCACTTCCTTGGGTAGGTATTTTCGGATACCAACAGGAAGTACTCTCTGAAGTAAGACATGATTATCATGACTCTTCAAGCCTGTGATTTTTCCAGTATCCAATGACACATTTTTTGAAATGTTTGCAGCATATCCATCTGGGTACCTCACTGATTTCAGAAACTGCAGAAACTCTGTCTTCGAATTTGGCTTCATGGAAAAAAACGGGTGTTTTTTAACCCATTTATCCCCATCCCTCTGTAGCCATAATGATTCTCTTATTCCGAGTGCTTGAAGATCTTTGCGAGCTTTGAATGTATCTTTACTTTTCCTCTCTATATCTAATATTGTGCCAAGAATTATATCACAGACATTTTTCTCTATGTGCATTACGTCTAAATTATGTCTGATAATTAACTTTGACCAATACTCTAACTCAAAAAATATGCTCTTTTTTGTCCAGTTTCTTTGTTCAGGAGTCCTCTTCCTCTTTTTGTCGGGGTTACATGGGTGTTTTCCTATTTGTCCAAACTCTAAGCTCTCTACTTGTGATAAAATTTCCTCACCTGAGAGTTTCTTAGGCTTTGCACGGAATTCCAGTTTCCCATTGAAAGACTTCTTATTTTTACGCCACACGTGATTTATTGGTAGCCAACGCCGATGTCCCATAAAACAAACCTTGCCACCAAACCACATAGAAGTCCCATCATCATTGCAGTTAGGACATGCATCATAACCCTTGGTGCTCCACCCAGATAAATTTCCATAACCAGGAAGATCACTTATAGTCCAAAGCACTGCAGCATGTAGGTTGAAAATGGAGTTTGAGACCTTATCATATGTTGGCAAACCTATTTCCCACAATTCTTTCAACTCGTCTATTAGCGGACGCAAATAAACATCAATTTCCTTACCAGGTTCTCGCTTACCTGGAATCAATAAGGTCAACATTGTATATTCTTTCTTCATGCACATCCAAGGAGGCAGGTTGTATGGAACAACCATCACTGGCCACATGCTATATGGTGTTCTGATGTCACCAAATGGGTTAAAACCATCACTTGCAAGTCCCAATCTAACATTTCTGGCCTCTTTCGCAAAATCAGGATATGCTTTGTCCAACTCTTTCCATGCTATTGTATCTGCCGGATGCCTCATGATGCCGTCCTCAACTCTCCCATCTTTGTGCCACGTCATATGATCAGCCGTATGATGCGACATGTACAACCGTTGTAATCGTGGTTTTAGTGGGAAATAACGTAACACCTTCTTGGGAATTTTTTTACCATTTGAGTTCAGCTCATATCTCGGCTCCTTACACACAGGACACTCATCTAATTTTTCATTTTCTTTGTAAAACAAAACACAATCATATGGACATGAATGTATCTTTACATATCCAAGTCCAATATTTTTCAGAACTTTTTGAGCATGACGGTGACTTGTAGGCAACTTATTGCCTAGAGGAAGCATCCTCTTCAAAATACCCATAAGTTCATCAAAACATTTGTTAGTCATTAGGTTTTTCACTTTTAATTGCATCAACTCCACAATAGACGTTAGAACTGAAAACTCCTTACAACCCGGATAAAGTTCATCTTGAGCTTCTTTCAACAGCCTTTCATACTTCTCAATCTCTTCACTAAACATGTTTGGAAGATATTGACCCTCTGCAGCAGCAGCATCGTGGAATGCATTACTTTGTTCAGCACCATTTTTATCGCATCCGGGGTGTGTGGCATACGGATATAGATCATTTATAATATCCATAACTTCATCATTATGGTTATTTGTATCCTTATCGACACTGGAGTTATCAAACAAGTTAGCACTCGAAGATCTCAATCTGGTTTCCATTCGTTCACCATGATGAGTCCACACAGTGTAATTGTAAGACATGCCATTAGTTATAAGGTGTAGTGTAATTTGTTTTAATGTCATCCAACCACAATTATTGCACTTAGTGCATGGGCACCTAGAAAGGCCTCGATGATTGAGATGCTTCTTTGCGGCTTCAATAAATTCAGCAATACCTAATTTATATTCACCACTATTCTTGTCTGGATTTTGTATCCAACCTCTATCCATAGAAAAGGTATGTGTTTTTATAACAAGATCTGACACTTTTACATGTATGAAGTTAGAAAATTGTAATAAGAACTCAACCAAAACATAACGCACTAAAGTTTAAGATGACATCATGTGGCTAAGTATTTGTAAACAGTAAAAAGTGTTGAGCATAGTAAATGTGGACTTACCTTTGTTACTTGGATTGAAGGAAGCTCTAGTACTATTAAAATTGCTCTTCACTCCTGTGAATACAGAAAACATTGATCAAAATATAACACAATTAACTTTAATCCCTTTTTTACACTATAATTTATATAGCATGAACATTTATGGAAACAATGGAGAATAGTAATAGCTCAAAGGAAATACTTAGTTTGTATGCATAACTATTTAGTTAACACATGAATAAATACGATAATTGAAATAAAATATAAAAAAAACTGTGATATGCTTATGGTGCTTAATTAGCTACTTTTATAATATATATAAGTGTTAGATTTAGTGCATATCATCTAATTTCAGTACTGCAAACTGCCAGCTACCGCGATTACATTGAGCTCGTTTGGTTTTTGGCGGTTCCAACCCCAATCCGCTGCAAATTGCAGCATTTCAAGTGTAAATTAATGTGGCGTTTTGGCTTAAACGCTAGCACCGAAACATAGCCATTGTTTGCGCTCAATATTATGGTTAAAGGAGGGATAGAAGAAGAAGACATTGTTTGTTTGGACGCTTCGTTCTTCATCAATGACAACTACGGGCTTACGACGTTCTCATTTGGTTCTCAAGTTCTTCAGCTATTATACTGTCTTCAATCAGCTTCCACTGATTTTGATTTGACGGGACAGTTGGTGTGGCCTGGAGCAGTGCGCTTGAATGATTTCTTGCGAAGAAGGCTGATATCATCCAAGGGTGTTCTATTATTGAGCTTGGATCTGGTGTTGTTATAACTGGATTATTGTGCAGCAAGTTTTGTCGTGAAGTCCTGATGACAGATCGACCACAGTGTGGAAGTCCTAAAGATCTTAAAGAAAAAAATAGAGATGTATTCTTTTGAGATATATTCTGGTTTAAAAGACGAGATGCTGGAGTGGGGAAATAATGATCAACTAAGTTCTAAATTAGAAAATTTTCAGCACTCAAATGTTCCTTTACTCTTTCATACTGTGGAGCAGCTACTCAAAATTCGTGGTGGAGACGAATGCAAATTTATCTTGGCATATGTATCATGAGCAAAAACAATGGATAACGTGGTGATTGATGAAGTAAATCGACATGGTTTGCAGATAAATGAAGTATCTGGGACACGATATACAAAATATATGTATGATGCTTACTAATATGGGTATGAAAACGATATAGAAAGATAAAAACGCTTCAAAAGATAATTAGTCAAATTTAATAAATTTGATATGTAGCAAATGGACAAAATAAAAACTCAAAGAAACTAACAGCCAAAATGGGGAAAAATAATGAACACCTAAAGAAACAGAAATAAAAATCTAAAGTGAAAGTGTACTAAGAGCACCACTCAATTGCCTCTAGGGTGATCCATGTCAATGTGTGATCATTAAGTTTTTTTTTTTTTGCTTATACAGAAAGGGTTCAAATCACACAAATATATCTTAAAATTATTTAGTAGTCACTACTCTCTAGTCATATTTTGGTTTAGGATTTTTATCAAACACCTTGGCTACACAGTTGATCAATTACAAATTGAGTTAAACAACAATGAGGATATTATTATACCTTTGAAACAGGATATTATATCATTCATAAGAAAGCAATAGCAAACAAGAGTCTCATTAACAATCTAACAATAATAATATAGTTAGAATTCCAAAATCAACCACAAAAAGTATAAACGCAATAGAGAGGGATGTGGTCATTGTTTACCTATGGAATGAATTGAATCATGGGAAGCTAGAGTAGAAGTTCTCTGATGGTGACCTTCTTAACTCAATCGTAAAAGTGATTCTGAGCACGCCAAGCAGCACTGGGGAGAAGCTATAATGTATATCTTGAGATCGACAAAAACGGATCGAATATGAGTACAGTTATGATAGAGCAGTTAACGTACTGAATAGGAGTCTTCATTGAATTAGGGCGTACTTTGGCCCTAACTAGCAATTATTTGGCGCGAACTAGCAATTACTTTGGCGGTAGTTTTTTAATTTAGAGGAGGGATAGGAGTATGTAGCTGGCGGCAACCCTCATTGAAAAAATTGATCCGAGAATTGATCCAGAATTTCATTTTGAATGTGCGCATATGGCCATATACATCTTCCTAGTTTTTAACACCTTTTTAGCATTTTATCTCATTATTACTCAAGTTAGGATGTTTTTACTTGGACTGTAATTTGCTGGTCTGGTCTGGTCTGATCTGATTTGGTCTGGTCTGGTCTGAACTGGTCTGGTCTGGTCTGGTAAGGTCTGGTTTCTTTGTATTTTTATAACTATCCAAGTCTGGTCTGGTCTGGTCTGGTCTGGTCTGAACTGGTCTGATCTGGTCTGGACTGGTCTGGTCTGGTCTGGGGCAAATTACAGTCCAAGTAAAAACATCCTTACTCCGTATTTTATTATACTTGTTATGACTTTTAGAGGCCGTTTGGAACCATTGTTTTTCGGCTTATCAGGCTTATCAGCCAGCATTTTCACCAAACACGTAATTTTTGTTTTCGCGCGCTGAATTGTGTAATAAGTAGAAAAAGTAATTAAGGTTGGAGTTACTTTTCTGGCTGTATTGGCTGAAGTTACTGTATATGACCATTTTAGCTATTGTTACATATAATTTTTTCTTTATTTTAAAAATATATTTTTCTTTAATCAGCAGAATCAGCCAATGCAGCCACTTCAGCCAGAACTTCATAAATTTCAGCAGAAACAGCCAAATCAGCCGATTTTCGTGCTACCAAACGGGCTCTAAGTTTTATATTTACTCCTTCATATTTCATTTACAAAATATACCAGTATATACTTTTATTAAAACAGTAGCATATTAATGCAATTACTAACTAGGAATTACGTGTTACAAGGAACACGTTTACTAACATCTAATTTCTTTATATCAGTTTATTTAATGGTCAATTCAACTATTTTATCAAACACGTAATTTTGATTTTGCAGGCTAAGTTGTGTGATAACTAATACTTCGTATATGTAAGACTAAAGTTACTTTTATGGCTGAACAGACTGAAGTTATGTTTTTAGTCAGGGTTGGAGCTAGGCCACTTAGCCCGAGTCCCATCTTGTTAAACCTTCGATCTGGGCACCGGGTTGGTACCGGTCTGGGCACCAAGTCGGTACCGATCTGGGCACTAGGTCAATACCGGTCCCGTTCAACCGAGCCCGAGTTAGACCTAAATAGTATCGGGCCGGGCCGACCCGTTCCACTCCATCCCTAAGCCAAACTACTAATCCTACGAATTATTTCTTTTGAAGCGAAAAGTCTTGTTAGACTACAAATTTAAGTTTGTATGCTAACAATTTTGTGGAGAAAGCTCTAGCTCCATAAAATAATTTTTTGTCTAGAAAAGGAGCTTTGGTAGACAAACATATTTTGTATGGAAAAGTAATGTTTGTAGTTAAAGTACTACACCCACAAATTAATTATTTTGTCATGAAAAGATACATTAAGCTACAATTTTTTTTTTGTATGTAGAAATTTTGTAGGCTAAGCATGTTTTTCTAGTAGTGCCAGCTTTTGTCTGTGGACTGCGCTTCACAGACAAAAAATAACTCTCACAGACACATGCGTGTATTGATGGGTATAAAAACGTGTACACCAAGAATTCTTCAAGATCAATTGAGCTGTCTAACAAACTGTTTGATCGACCCCTTTCCTGATGCGAAGAAGCAGCTTCAAGCATTTGCACTGATAAAAGTTTGATCGGGTACTGGGTAGCGTGCCGGGTAAGCCCAACCCAGTCCATCCCTAGTCCCCATGTTTTCACAATTGTTTACACTGATGAAGTATTAAACATCCACATTGATGGAAGAATTATTGAAATTTTTTAATACAAAAACATGTTGGTAACATAGTATTTCGTACAATGAAAAGGACTGTTTTGCATGACACAATAGTTTGTAAACCATTTAAACAACATTGTATTAACAAAAGAAATTAAAAATGATTTACGCATAATGCTATACATTATAAAACAATTCTTTTTACATTACATTTTGGGACTCAATGACTCGTGGTTCCTCCATCATCATTTGAAATGCAAATTTACAATCCAGTACGATTAGTCATCATAGACACAACGGTGTTGAGCTGTTAGTGATTGAAAATCGAGGGTTTTCAATAGCGATCCAAAGCAGGAAAGGGGTTGATGTAAGCAACCTTGCCCATGTACTAAAGCGAAAAAGGGACTGTTTCTAGATGATCCATAGTCAAATTGCGTCGAAAATTGAATGGACTAACTACTGCTTCATAACAAAAAAACATTGACAGTTTAATGAGTCATTTTGTTTTATTCCACCATATTCCAAAGTAAAATATAGGGACTCTTTGGTTTCATTAATATTAGTCAAATTTGAAAAAAAAAAATTAACCTTGTAATTTTAATTGAAAGGTTTAGAATTATACTCTGTACAATAGTAATGTACTCCCTCCGTCCCGGAAAATTGTTCCCCCATTGACTTGGAACGGAGTTTAAGAAAGTGGGAATAAAGTGGAAATGTATGGTTGTGGTTGAGTAAGAAAAAGGTAAATGAATTGTAGCCACAAAAAATTTTCCAAAAGGGGAAAGTGGAACAATTTTTTGGGACGGCCCAAAAAGGAAACAGGGAACAATTTTCCGGGACGGAGGGAGTATATTTAAAATGAAATATAAGTACGATTTACCAATGATTACGGAGTAGTACACAAAATTCTAAAGCCCTATAAAATGCACTATAAATTTAATTTGAGGTTGATCGCCCTCCTAAATCACCGCCAATCCAAGAAGATGAGATTGCATGAATAATTTTCTTTCTGGTGTGGTGAAACCGGAACAATTTCTGCATTTGGCTCTTTATCGATGGCTAGAAAAGCAAACAAGTATAATAATTTATTTTCGGTGAGTGGTGAAACCGGACCCATTTCAAGTAGCATGAGCAGTCACATTGCGGTACAAGTCTACATGGTTCCAGGTTAGCGAGCAGGAGCGCCTTTATGTGGCTTTTTTCTTGTTTGTCTTACTCTAGTGTAACATTGAATTGAATGCTATAATTGTAATGTTTTGACTTTTGATTGTTTTGTATTAGCCTAAAAAAATGTGAACTAAGAGTTATGCTTTTAATAAATAAAAACAGAAAACTGTCAAATACGTCTCTGTACTTTTATCAAAAAGTCAATTGAGTCATCATACATTTGCGTGAGTCAATCGAGCTCTCAAAGTGTTAAAAAACGGTCAAATTAGCTATTTCGTTAGTAACTGTCCGGTTTCCCAGTTGACAAGTCTACGTGGACGTCCAAGTGTATTTTCTAGAAATAATTGCCTCTATATTACTATTAGAGTTTTCATTTCATAAAATATGACAACTTTTACATTTTCCAAAAATATGACCTCATTAAAACACTCCAGCCTATTTCCGTCTTCCCATCTTCCCCAGCGACATCATCCCATCTTCTTCGCTCCCGTCAAAGCGTCATCGAACCAAGAGGCGAAGCATCCAACGAACTCGGAACCAGAGGCGAAGCATCCATGTCCTTGCAACGCCGCCATATCCATTAGGCCAGCCAAAACGTGAGTCGTCATGACCTCGTCCCCAATGCCCCATTCCATTCCAGGAGCTGGAAGAACAGATCTGGTCTGATTTCCATCAGATTCATTTTGATTTCCATTCGATTCGTTTCTGTCCTCGTTCGATCCGTTCTTCATCGTCTTCGTCCTCCCTTTTCTTCTCTTTTTTTCTCGTTCAACGACAGTACGACTAGAATCTAGCGGCTAGGTTTTGGGATGCGATGAAGGTAGGGGATGGGATCTGGTAGGAGGGGGGCGACTGCAGAGGTTTGGGGCTGGGGTGTGGGTAGGGGAGCAGAGGAAGGGGCTGGGCAGTTGGGGAAGGGACCGAGTTTAGGGGTATCCGGCGGTGGCCGAACATGGTGGTCTCCAGCGATGGTCGGGGGTGCTGGTTGTGGGGCTGTGGCAGGGCGGTGGGATTGGGGATGGTGCAACCATTGTGCAGGGTTGAGGCAGTGTGTGGTGGGGCTGGGGTGTACTGGACCTGAGGTTTGGTGGGGCTGGAGTGCGGTGGTTGGCAGGAGTGGTGGCCAGAGCGGTTGGGTTGGGGAGGTTTGGGGGCTGGGGGATAGGGAGTTGAGCTAGGGCTGGGGTGGCGGCGTCATGGTGGCGGCTGAGTAACTGTGACTGGTGGGGCGACAGTCACAGTGATTGGAGTCACTGTGGCCGGTGGGTCGGTAGGCGGATCAGTCACAATGACTTCAGTCACTGTGGTCAGAGTAACTGTGGCGGCGGAGTGGAGGTGAGTCACTTTGGCTGGAGTCACTTTGACCAGAGTCACTTTGGCCGGAGGCACTGTGGTCGGAGTCACTTTGGCCGGAGTCACTGCAGCTGGAGTCACTGCAGCTGGAGTCACTTTGACCGGAGTCACTGCGGCGGCGGCGGGGCGGTCGGCGGTGCTGGGTAGGCGGCCACAGAGGTGCTGGTAATAAATGGAATAAATGAATAAAAGGAATATTAAAATAATAAATGTATGATTAATAAAAGGAATAAATGACTTTTAGTCACATTTTTAGAAAAAATTAAAACAAGTCACTTTTTTATCTTTTTCATTCATTTTAGTAATATTGGAACAAAAAGGCCTATTTTCTATAGGCTTCTTTTTTCTTCTTTTCCTCTTTTTATTTTTTCTTTTAATTCCTTGCTTTCTCTTTTCTCCATGTCAGCTCCTTTCTCGTAGTTTCAGTCACCCTTCCCCACCTCCACCTCCCTTTTGTCACTACCTCCATCTCTTTATTACTCTCGCCCCTCCATATCTACCATCTCTCATCTCTATGGCTCCATGGCCTCCACTTCTGCCAACCTCCACAGACCTCCTCCAGCCGACATCCATAACCACCACCTCCACCTCCCGACCTTCATAGCTACTACCTCCGCCGCCTGGCCTCCATAGACACAGTGGGAAACTTCGAGATAGAATCAGAGTTAAAAAATCGAATATAATTTTTTGAAGGGTTAAGAAATTCCATTGGGATAGACAACAGAGAAGGTATTCTACCATTTCAACCATTGGTGTTAACAAATTTAATATAATTCCTTTTGTAAAAGAAAAAG